TTCTGGGAGCTTCTTGTGGGTTCTTGTGGGCCTCTCGGAGGCCTCTTGGAAGCCTCATTGGGCCTAGGGCGTTCATAGCCCGTCTCACGCCGTCGGAAGCCATCTTGAGAGCCTCTCTGGGCAGTCTTTTGGCACTCTTGGGGCGCTTCAGGGCCGTCTTGGAGGCCATCATGGGCTGGCCTCTTCGGGCCCTCCTGGAGGACCTCTTGGAGGCCTCTTGAGCCGTCTTGGAGGCCTCTTGGGGGCCTCTTCGACTGTCTTGAAGGCTTCTTGGCCAGACTTAGAGGCATCTGGGACCCTCTTGGGCCTCTAGGATGCCATGTTGGACCATCTTTGGGGCCTTTGGAGGCCATCTTGGCCGTCTTGGAGGTCATCTTATACCTTGGACCCGTCTGGAGCGGAAAAATCCTTGCCAACCAGCTCCGAGCAAGCGTTTCGGGTGGCCCGCGGCATCGGCCGAAGCCCCAGGGGGGGTTCGAAAAGAACCAAAAGTCACCTGAACCTCAGCACGCCGGGCACCCCAGTGGCACCCCTGCGTCTTCGATCCGCTACCCCCTGAAGGGAGCGGCGGATCGAAGACGCCTACGGCGAATCACCGCCGCCCCCTGCCTTTTGGGAAGCGGCTTTGTCGACAAACGTTGAGCCCAAGTTTGGCCAAGCTATCGGACCGTGTATTCCCCCAGCCGTTCTGCAACTCTTCGGGGCACATTTGGGAGAGGACGAGGGAGAGGATCAGGAGAGGGAGGAGGAGCAGGAGGAGGAGGAGGAGGAAGAGAAGGATGAGTGAGGAGGAGGAAGAGGAGGGAGTAGGAGGAGGAGGAGGAGGAGGAGTACGAGAGGAGAGGAGGAGGAGGAGGAGGAGGAGGAGGAGGAGGAGAAGGAGGAGGCGTCTTGGGAGCCTCTTGGGGCACTCTTGGGACATGCTGGGAGCTTCCTGGGGGCCTCTTGGAGGCCTCTTGTGGGCTTTCTTGGGCCTCTTGGGGGCCTTTGGGGGCTTTGGGCGGGCCTCTTTGGCCGCCGTAGGGCGTTCCTGGCCCGTCGGAAGCCGTCTTGAGGGCCTCTCCGAACCGACTTGGGGCACTATTGTCAGAGCCCCGAATCATCAGGGGTAACTCGGGTCAGGGATAACTCGGGTTCGTTTCTCGGGAATCCAAACCCGAGTTACCCCGGACCCGAGTTACCCCCGATAACTCGGGCGTCCAGAGCCCCGAATCATCAGGGATAACTCGGGTCAGGGCTAACTCGGGTTCCTTTTCCGGGAATCCAAACCCGAATTACCCCGGACCCGAGTTACCCCGGATAACTCGGGCGTCCAGAGCCCCGAATCATCAGGGATAACTCGGGTCAGGGCTAACTCGGGTTCCTTTTCCGGGAATCCAAACCCGAGTTACCCCGGACCCGAGTTACCCCGGATAATTCGGGCGCCCAATATTGGAGCGCTTCAGGGCCGTCTTGGAGGCCATCTTGGGCGTCTTGGAGGCTCTTGGAGGCCTCTTGGGCTATCTTGGGGCGATCTTGGGGGCCGCGTTGGCCGTCTCGGGCCGTCGGTAGGCCGAAAAAAAGCAAATGCCAAAATCCTTCAAGACCCTAAAGAAAATCTATGATGTTGGCCTTTTTCGAGCCGTCCTGGAGGACCCCTGGGAGGCCTCTGGGGCACTCTTGCAGGCTGTCTTGGGCCATCTTGAGGCCATCTTAGGCCATCTTGAGCCCTCTTGAGGCCATCTTGCCCGTCTTCTTGGAGACATCTTCGGGCCGTCTTGGAGGTCATCTTGAGCCAACTTGCCCGTCTTGGAGGCGTCTTTGATACCATATTGGAGCCATATGGAGCAGAAAAAACCTTTGGAGTCACCTCTGGAGCAGCTTTCACTGGCTTTCGGGGTGGCCGGCGCGCGAGCCGGAGCCCCCGGGGGGAGTCTTAAAAAGAACTAAACATGTGTCAGAAGTTTAGCGCGCCTGGCACCCCTGTGAGATGTAAACAGGGGGCGGCGGATCGAAGACGCCTACGGCAAATCACCGCCGCCAACTGCCTTCTAGAATCGCCCATGTGGCCGAGCGTTGTGGCAAGAGCTCTGCCGAGCTATCGGACCATGTGTTCCCCCAACCGTTTTGGAAACCCTTCGGGAAACACTTGGGGGAGGATGGCGGGGAAGATCAGGAGGAGGCTGAAAAGGAGGAGGTGAAGGAGGAGGAGGAGGAGAAGGAGGAGGGGGAGGCATCTTGGGCCGATCTTTGGGGGCTCTTAGGCCGTCTCGGGCCGTCGGAAGGCCGAAAAGAAGCAAGTGCCAGAGTCGCTCAAAAATCAAGGGAAAGTCACTGATTTGGGCTTCTCCGGGCCTTCCTGGAGGCCCTCTTTGAGGCCTTTGGGGCCGTCTTGGGCCATCTTGGACCGCCTTGGTGGGCTCCTGGCCCGCCTGACGCAGTCGGAAGCCGTCTTGGGGGCCTCTCTGGGCCGACTTGGGGCCCTCGTGGGGTGCTCCACGGCCGCCTTGGAGGCCACGTGGGGCGTCTTGGAGGCCTCTTGGGGCCGTTCTGAGGCCATCCTGGGGGCCTCCTGGGCGATCTTGCGGCGATCGTGGGGGCCTTTTGGGCCGTCTTGGGCCGTCGGAAGACCGAAAAGCAGCAAATACGAAAATCCTTCAAACATTTTTTGGGAAAATCAATGGTTTGGGCATCTTCGGTCCCTCCTGGAAAACCTCTCGGAGGCCTCTTCGGCCGTCTTGGAGGCCTCTTGGGCACCTCTTGGGCAGTCTTGGGCCGTCTTGGAGGCTTCTTGGGCGGACTGAGAAGTATCTTGGACCCTCTTGAGCCGTCTTGGAGGCCATGTTGGATCATCATGGCCGAACTTTACGGCCATCTTGGCCGTCTTGGAGGCTATCTTGAGCCGTCTTGGAGAGTTGCTTCCGGACGTTGTGCTCGATCGTACGGCCTTCCGGTTGGCCGGCGGGACGGGCCGAAGCCACAGGGGAGAGTTCTTTTGGACAAAAGAACCAAGACCAAGAACGGCAGCGTTTAGCACGCCGGGCACCCTTGTGGCAAGACCACAGGGGGCGGCGGATCTCGTGGCCTTAAGCCCAACCCGCCACCGTGCTTGGGAGGTGGGTCAGAAGCCTCTTGGATAAATATGAGGGTTTCGTGGGATGCCTCTCAGGAGCAGCTTGTAGGGCTCTCAGGTGCATTTGGGAGGCGTTGGGGGGCCTCTGGGGGTCGTCTTGGAGGCTTATTGGGGGCGTCTTGGAGGCCGCGTGGGGCCTCTTGGGGGCGCCTCGGGGGCCTTTGGGAGGCTCTTGGGGCCAACTTGGGGGAAAAGCTCGAAAGGTCAGTTCGCATTCCCCGTCTTGGGTTTTCTTGAGGCCCTCCTGGGGCTTTCGTGGGCCGTCTTGGGGGGCCGTGGGGTCGTCTCAGGGCCCCCTTGAGGGCCTCATCGGCCGTCTTGTGACGATCTTGGGGGTCCCTTGGGCAGTGTTAGAAGCTATCAACAAAACGAAAGAAGCGAATGTGCTAAAAATTGACGTTTCCCTCCGGGAGTGGGACGATGTTTACCTCTTGGGGCCTTCTCGGCGGTCTTCTTGGAACACTTTGGGGCCGTCTTGGGGGCCTTGTGGGCCGTCTTGAAGTTAGCTTGGATCGTCGTGGGGCTACTGTGGGCCGTGTCGACACTCTCTTCGACTGTCTCGGCTCTCTGTCTGGGCCCTCTTGGGGCTGACCTGATCAGCTCGACGGCAAGCCTTGTGCCAGAACCCCCCTGCCAGATCTAAGCAGAAAATCATTACGATTGCCATCGGCACGACGTGGGCATGGATCCCCCGGCTTTGGCAGCTTCCAGGCCACACAACTTCAAGGAGGGGCAGAGGAGGAGGAGGAGGAGGAGGAGGAAGAGGAGGAGGAGGACGGCGAGGAGGATGACCTGGGTGAGGAAGAGGGGCGAGCAGGAGGACGAGCCCACAAGAGCTTGACTCTTCTCCAATCGACCTGCAAGGATCAAACCAGATAAGTCGAGGCACGGCGGCGCAGGCCGGCGTAAGTAAGTCTAGATGGGGCGCTCCAGAAAGGGCCCCGCCTGGGAGGAATCGAGAGTCCTCGGCGGAAGCCGGCGGGAGCGAACCCAGGGGCGGCGCCAGCGGCAGAAGTTGTCGGAAGGCGGACGGAAATTGGCGGATGTGAAAGATGTGCGCCCTCAAGAGGCGCAATCTTTTGGGGGGGGATGCAGTGTTTCCAGAACCCGCCAGATGGATCATGGTTACATCTGGGGACATCTGGACACATCTGGCGAGCTCGCTGAAGCTCTCGCGAGAGTCGAGGGACGGCAGAAGTCGTTAAGCCCTCGACGAGCGAGGGCGACGAGGACGACGGCGACGACGACGATGGCCAGCCAGCCGACCCATCGGCAAGCCGCGCACCAGAGGTCACTCTTGCCTCTGGCCTGGGCTCACCCTTGCGTGTGGCCGGTCTTCCTTCGGCGGGTTTCGATGTATACGCAACGTCGTTTGGTATCGCAGGCCTCGAGGTTGACACCAACACCAATTTCGGCGGTGTGGCTCCACCAGGGGAAGAAGATCCCGATCTCGGTGATGGTGGTAATATTCTGGCTTCCAAGGTGGCTAAAATATTACCACCAACACCGAAATCTAGGATCATCTTCCACCTGTGGAGACAGCCCCCTGTGTTGATGTTGGTGCCCATTTCCAGGCCTCCAATGGTGGGCCCAGAATTCCAGCAGCTCGGCGAAAGAACTCGGTGTATAGACACTCTGGCGTCCCACACGTTGGGAAGCTGGGGCGTCTATATATATATATATATATATATATATATAGAGAGAGAGAGATATAGATATATATATATATATATATATAGACACGCCGAGCTCGTTGGCCGACCAGGCGGCTTGGTGTATACTCAGGGCCCTTCCAATTCCTCCTCCCTCCTCGCCCGACGTCGTCGTCCGTCCGTCGTCGACGAACGAGGGCGACGAGGACGACAACGAGGACGACGCCGGCCAGCCAGGCCGCTTTTAGCGCCTCCTCCGCCAGCTCGGGCGTCTGCCCTGCCCGCACCAGCGGCCCCGTCGACGCGGCGGAGGAGGACGCGAGGCACGCGGACGCACTGTGGCTGCTGCAGGCGAGGAGGAGGCCGAGGAGGACGAGGGGAAGGAGGAGGAGGAGGAGCAGAAGGAGGAGCAGCAGCAGGAGGAGGAGGAGGAGCAGGAGGAGGAGGCGGAGGAGGAGGAGAAGGACGACGAGGAGGAGGAGGAGCAGGAGGAGGAGCAGGAGGAGGAAGGCGAGGAGGAGAGGCGCCTGGTGCTCCTCGCGCACCGTGCCACCGCGCCCACCCCCTCCGCGACAGCTGCCCCCTGGAGCTGCCACGGCGGTGTCTGCAGAGGCGGCCGGCATCGCAGGCAGCGCGACGAGAGATCGAAGGCCAAGACCCTCGCAGGGCTCGTTTCGGCTCCCCCGACTCGATTCGATCCGATTTCGATGGTTTCCGGTTCCGATTCGGTTCGACGTCGGATTCCGAGGTGGGCTCCGATTCCTCAGCGGAGGCCTACTAGCCTGCCGATTTTTCCGCCGATTCGACTTCTCCCGACTCGGCTGCCGATTTCCGCCGATCCGATTCGTCTCGATGGCCGATCCGACTTATCCATTGCATTCTGGGCTCTCCTGCCCCCGTTCGCTTGCATCAGACCTACAGTCAATCCGCACAGCACGGATGAACAGTTTCCCAAAGGTTACACTTGCAGCCTTCCCCTCCGCAGGCCCCCGTACCCTTCGCTGCGTCCTTCTTATACGGGTTGTCTATTCGTCATCCTGCTGTCCCATCCATCAGCCCAGAGACAGGATCCCCACTCGGCTGTCCAAAGGATGTCATCATGGTTTCCAACTTTGGACTGCCAATAGTTTAGTCGGTACGTCAAGCATCTTGCGCGCTGCTCTTGTGGGCAGCGAGACGGTTCTCGATGTCCTTCATGCTCGTCAGGAATGCGGGGGATATGGACAGAAAGCTCAGGATCGCCCGAGGGCCAGCAGTCGCTGGCCCACTTTTACGGACAGAGAAGTCAGAACCTATCTTGCCAGAGTGCGGCTTCTGACAAAAGAGGAGGCGATGGGAGAACCATGATACAAGGCACCACCCGAAGGGGACCAGCACACCTTCCTCATGGAGACAAGGCGTCTGCTCAGCAATATTGTTTGTTTGGCGTTGACTTCCAGGCGGGCTCAGGGGATCCAGTTCCTCCTCATCCTTCTGCTCCTCCTCATCCTCCTCCTCCCCTTTCTCGCTCTCCTCCGCCTCCCCCTCCCCCATCCTTCTCATCCTGCCCGTCCTTGCCCGCCTCATCCTCCTAGTAAGTTTGCTCCTCCTTTCCCTCGTCCTCCTGCACGCACTCCTCCTCCCCTTCCTCATCCCATCCACTCCTCTCCGCCGTACTCCCCCAGTCCACGCCTACCCCTCCCCCGCCACCAGCGAGGCATGCCGTGGAGGGACGTGGCACATGGCATTGAATCCCAATGTGCACACCTAGAGGCATAACTCGCAGACCCGTCTATCGTGGCCGTGGTCGTGGTCGTGGTCATGGTCTTCATCGTCGTCGCCATCGTCATCGTCATCTTCCTCCTCCTCCTCCTCCTCCTTCACCTCTCCCCCCCTAGCGAGACACACGCTGGCTTCGACTGATTGCTTGTCTGCCCCCCCCCCCCCAGTTCCACCCGCTTGTCCTTCCCATCCTCGTTCCCGCCTCCTCTTCGCCGTCCTCGCCCTCCCCCCTGCCACCACTTCCCTCCCTTCGCGTGCAGACCTCCCTCTCCTTCCACCCACGATCCCGGGTGCACCCACCTGCTCCCGGAGCAGGCGAACCACCGGCTGAAATACCACGCGGCCGACGAGCAGTCCAGCGAACGGCAGCAAGTGGCGAATTCCAGCCTCAGGACTCGGGGAGGAGGAGGAGGAGGAGGAGGAGGAGGAGGAGGAGGAGGAGGAGGAGGAGGATGGGGAGTAGGAGGAGGAGGAGGAGGAGGAGGAGGAGGAGGAGGAGGAGGAAGAGGAGGAGGAGGAGGGGGTGGGGGATGTTGATTTGAGGAGCGTGAAGTGATGATAATTTGAATTGCGGAGGTTCCTGGGTGTTCTTCTTGTCCTGCGCAGCCAGAGACGAGCGGTTGAGCAGGACTGGCCGGGGGTGATCAGAAGCTCCAGAGTTCCCAAAACGTGCTCTGAGACAATGGAATTATACGTTGTTGTCGTCCTGGTTGATTCTCACATCCAATGGTGAGCATATGTTTCATCGTTAGTCAGCGGAGGGCCAGAACTGGACAGAAGGAAAAGGAGTAGTGTGCAGATGGTGAGGAAAAAGAAGGAAGAGGGGAGATGATATGGAGATGGAAAGAGAGTTTCATATTCAGAACTGGAGGACGAATGAGAGGGGAGAGGAGGATGCAAAGGACTCTCCACGGACACCAAAGGCTAGTCTTTGTCTTGGGTCTTGGGTCTCTTCATCCTCCCCTCCCCTTATACACCTCATCTTGTCCTCCTCCGCCTCTTTACCTCCTCCCCACCACAATCATCATCAGCATGGTCGCCAGCATCATCGCAATCGTCATCAGCACCGTCATCATCATCATCACCTTCAGCATCATCTCATCCTCCTCCTCCTCCTCCTCCTCCTCCTCCTCCTCCTCCTCCTCCTCCTCCTCCTCCTCCTCCGTTTACTCACCATCATCATCATTATCATCATCATAGCGCTGCCAATGTTGCCCAGGCCCTTCTAGGAGCGCGGCACGGGCCTCTCTCCCTTGCGAGCGCGGGTGGCACAGCCAGGCGGGCCGGCACTTTTGTACACGAGGGTGATTTCGCCTCGAGGCAGACACGCGGCCGCCCACAAGACGGCGTGACCCAGGACGTGTGAGGAAGAGGAGAAGGAGGAGGCTCAGGAGGAAGTCGAGGAGGAGGAGGAGGAGGAGGAAAGGGAGGAGGAGGGGGAGGAGGAGGAGGAGGAGGAGGAAGAAGAAGAGGAGGAGGAGGAGGAGGACATCCTCGGCACCATCGCCAAGCCTGGCACCAAGGCCTCCCTTGAGGCAACAGCAGCTGGCGGCTACATCGCCATGATCGGGCAGTTCGGGGTCGGACTCTACTCTGCGTATCCCGTCTCGGACAAGGCGCGCGTGACCAGCAAGAACAAGGACGACGAGCAGCACACCTGGAAGTCTAGAGCTGGCGGCGCCTCCACGGTGCAGAGGGGCACCGAGAATGTCCGCGGCGAGATCAAGCGGGGCACCGTGATCATCTATTACGCCGAGAAGTCCAAGGGGAAGGGGGTTACGGATACCGAGGACGACGAGGAGGAGAAGAAGGACGAGGAGCAAGAAGGCTACGAGCCTAAGACTGAGGAGGCCGACAAGGAGAAAAGAGGAAGAGAAGACTAAGAATAGCAAAAAGGTTA